CGCGAAATTCAAAACAAACAAACAAACTTAATATAAGACACACGCACAATCAAAATAAAATGCGATCAGTATTGCGATTAACCTTTCTAATTATCGTTGAATCTTACATAAAAAACAAATGATTTCACCCAATTATTTGGTCAATACTTTACACACAGTGTTGTAAGAGGTTAAAAAAAAAAAGCTTCCACAATGTGATACAGTTTGTGGACCCCTGTGGGTAATAAACAATATTGAGGGTTAGTATGCATATATGTATTATTAAGATAATTTATAACGGATATAATTATTATGAGTATTGATATTAATCATAAATTATGAATCAATCAGGTGATAAATATTCGTTTGTTAGATAGTTTGATCTGAGGCAACTTATTAGCGAGTTCTATAAACCGATTTCTAATTCTAAAAAGAAAATGTAGCTCTTCAACTTACTACTTTAACGGGTTTTTTTCTCTTTAAACTTAGAAAAGGGTCGCGGACTAGCCCATTGAGAGCTCTCTGTATTCCAGGAGTAGTGAGCCGGGTTAGCGTCTGCGTGATACCACAAAATAGTTTCCGCACTTTAAGCTGTGGTAAGAGAGATTCATGTTAGATTGTTTGTTTGTTTGTTTTGAATTTCGCGCAAAGCTACGCGAGGGCTATCTGCGCTAGCCGTCCCTAATTTAGCAGTGTAAGACTAGAGGGAAGGCAGGTAGTCGTCATCAATCACCGCCAAACTCTTGGGCTACTCTTTTACCAACGAATAGTAGGATTGATCGTCACCCATAACGCCCTCACGGATGAGAGGGCGAGCATGATTGGTGGGACGGGGATTCGAGCCCGCGACCAGCAGATTGCGAGTCGAGCACCCTAACCACCCATGATGTTAGAAAAACACGTAGGTTCACGTAGTCTTGATAGAAATTAACAAAAAACCCATAACCCGAGCGTGTTCGAAGGGTGGGCCTTTCTTCTTCAGGAGCAAACTGGTAAGAAAGATTGTCAGTTCCCTAATATGGGTGGTAGGGTACTCAGGTCAATAGTCCAAAATAATTAGTAACGGTAGCAGACAGCCTTAGTAACTTCGTTATAAAATACAAATATAATACAATGCCAAGAACATGTCTAGTTTTTGTATTTGTATTGCAGAATATACAAAAAAAGAGAACACGAAAATACCTAACTAAGCTTGTGCTATTGCCTTTTGTGGTCATAAACTTAACAGAATTCTTCTCGTTGTGTCCAGTAAAACAAACAAGTTAAACATGCGTACTTACAGGTTCCAGCTAACGCCACGAACACCACGATAAAAAGGGTCTTCATGACACCCTAGGTAGTAAGTATGAGCGGTATTGTGGAAGATAGAAACGTCTGATGTACTAAATTAACACTGGATGTCCAGTTTCTCCACGGTATCTTTTTGTATGTTACCAAAATGCTAGCTAGCACCATTCATAATACTCGACTTATCATTGGCTCCTAGACATGATGACACATATACCTGAGATAATACCATTGGGCAGCCGAAGAGCGTAGGTGCACGAGGTTTGAAGATTTCGTGGAAGCACTAAAGGGAAGCTTATTCTTACAATTCCATCCCTCTTTCACAATATCCCCCTTTAGCAGATGTCACGTGCTAATACTGACCCAGATCCAATTTGCGTCGACGAACTTAGGGTGGTATGATTGAACTGACTAGATTTAGGTTACCGTTACATCGTAATAAGCTTGTTTTAAGCTAGATCGTTGTTTGTTTCCTTTTAATTATAGAAGGTAGGTTACAAGGAACGAAAGAAACAAAAAATAATAATACCTCTTCATAGCTTGATTCATTTCAAGGTCGCTACTTCATTTGCTCAGTTTACTCCGAGCCGCTGTTGAAATTCCTGCTGCTCATGTCTTATACGCATGTAGACATTAATAGTTTAAGAAAAACATTAAAAAAAAGATAATAATTTGTTGTTTAATGCTTCAACTACTTTACCATTAGAATTTTGTCATTTCTTCTAAATGAAACGGAGCTAAACAACAGAAAGGATAAGAAACAATAGCAAAGAAAATCGTTTGGAAATGTTGTAATCTTCCGTAGGCATATTTAAAAAAATATTAAAATAATAATTTTCGTTTACCGCTCTAAAGGAGCAAGAAACTCGTATTCTCGTCAATATCAATCTTGAGAAAAATACGAACAAGCAAATAAACAAACAAACATGAATATAAACAATTAACTATTGTGAAAAGTTTTGACATATCTTACTCACCAAACTGCTTTCTTACCCGGTTTCTGTTGAAGGTTGTTTTTCATTTAATTCTTTCGCAGCTATCCTTTCCTATTGGTAAATAGATTGACATTCTCTAAGGCTGGCTTCTCTTCATCTTTACCATAATTATCATTATTCCGTTAATCCTCTTTTTTTTTCATTCCCACCGCTATTCTTCTTAATTGTCCATTCCTTTATCTTAACTACAGCTATCCTTCTTGATTCACATTGTGTTTACTTTTACACAGCTACCCTTCTTACTTTACCTTTGTCTTTACCTTCATGACAACCATTAGTCCTAATTTACTCCCGCATTTAATTTTTACACAGCTACCCTTCTTACTTTACCTTTGTCTTTACCTTCATGACAACCATTAGTCCTAATTTACTCCTGTATTTAATATTTCCGCAGCTATCCTTCTTACTTTACTCTTGTCTTTACCTTCATGACAACCATTAGTCCTAATTTACTCCTGTATTTACTTTTACACAGCTACCCTTCTTAGTTTACTCTTGTTTTTCTTTACCTTAATGACAACCATTAGTCCTAATTTACTACTGTGTTTAATTTTTACACGGTTACATTTCTTACTTTACTCTTGTCTTTACCTTTTTGACAACCAGTAGTTCTAATTTATTCCTGTATTTACTTTTTTACACAGCTACCCTTTTTATTTTACCCTTTTCTTTACCTTCATGACAACCATTAGTCCTAATTTACTCCTGCATTTACAATTACACAGTCACCCTTCTTAGTTCCCGTTTTTAATTTTTCCAAAACGATCCTTTTTAATTTATCCGTCTTTAGCTTCATAAGAAATATCTTCTTAATTTACTCCTGTATTTAATTTTTACACAGCTACCTTTCTAACTTTACCTTTACCAGTTATTTTCTTAATTCACCTTGTCTTTACTTTATCGCAACTATTCTCCCCAATTGACCCTTGTTTTTACCTTCACCACAAGTATCCTTCCTAATTTAACCCTCATCTTATCTTTATCGCATCTGTTCTTCGTAATTTACCTTATCTTTATCATAACTATTCTCCCTAATTTACCTTTGTCTTTACCTTCACCACAGGTATCTTTCCTAATTTATCCTTGTTTTTTTTTCCCTCGTTTTGAGCTTGCCTATAATAGTTCTTCCAGTTTTTATCATTTCCAGTTTATTTATTTCTCTCTTAATTATCTTTAACTATTTGCTACTTTATTTGCACTTCTACGAATTTTTTACACAATTTCTCCTTTACTTATCTTCCTTGAAACTGTCGTTTCCTTTCCTATTTAATATTCTTTCGACTTCTACAACGACTATTCTTTCCTTTATATCTCCCATAGATTTGCAAACCCTCTTTTTTAAATCTCCTTTTATTACCATAATATTTATTTTTTATTTACTTATTTTTATCCTTCCCACATCTTTACTAACCCATTTGTACAACAACAACAAAAACACCAGAGAATGGCCATAATTGTTATTTGGTACTAAAATGGAAAATTTTACTAAAGCATGGGATTTTATTCAGTATTAATAACAACAACAACAAAAGTACGTTTACTATGCTTTAGCTAAAATCGGACAAGACCTTAATAATACCGCCAATTTCTACAGTTTTGTATAGCTTATCTAAACGTTCATTATCTTCGGAGGATGGGTGATATTAACCTGATAAAAACGGTTAATATTTCCAATAAATATGAATCAACCAGATCTTGCACACTTTGATGATCTGGTTCAGACGGTCATGACTTTGAACTAAGAAATCTTAACCTACATTGGTGTTCGCACCTGTTTCAGTTTCCTCGTTTCGATACCATATTTGAAAATTAGATAGGCGAGTGCTACATAGACTGAAGCATAATGTCGTTAAACAGGTGTATATGTGTGTTTGTGTGACTGTTCGCGTTCTCATATCGTGGTTAGTCGTGATCTCCTTCCACAGTAAATTATAACACGCCAAATGTGACAATAACACGCTTGAATTAAGAATAAAAAGACATAACGTCGTAGAGGACACTTTACTGTTTCACACATGTGAAAAATATTTTATTTTTTGGTTTATAAAGTATTCAAGTTCTTCAAGTATTAATCATGTACATAACGTCTTTTGTCTATATTAATAATTATATTATCTTTCTTATAATCATGAATCATAAAATAATACGTATTTAAAATTTTTACAAATCTTTGGAAATGTAGAGAAAATATAAGCATAGAAACGTAAAGTTCGTCTTCACATACATGTTGATTTCTATATTTTAAGTTACGGTTATTGTATTTTCTTCAATTGGAAATTCCCTCCACCCCCTAGATGAGTAGTTGTAATTATCAAAAAAAAAAGCTCACCAGGTTATAAAAACTCTTATTTTGCTGTTTTCGTATGATTAATTTTTGAAGATATTACGAGATGTTATGTAGTGATGCAACTCTCATAATAACGTGGATATGTTCACATATAGGGTGCGCTGCTGTTATTTATAACAGGTTATGGCGCAGGTGTTTAAATAATGAAATAGATCAGAGAAAAGGCAGCTAGTCAACACTACCCACCGCCAACGTTTAGGCTACTCTAGTGAGGCCGAATAGATGGATTTGAATGCCAATTTTATAACGTACCCATGGCTCCGAAGTGCGAAACGCGATGATTTTTTAGAACGCTAAACATGGGATCTCAGCTTCACAGTCCAGCGCGCTAACCATTGGGCCGCGCTCAGCCTTATTAGAAACAATGAGCGTATATATTAGTTTGTTCCTCATGCTAGTACAGAATTTTTCGATTACACTGTTCCTTCAATTTATTCTAAAACAATTAAACCCAATTTTACAACTTGAACACTGTTATTTTAATATGGCTAAAATGCTCATTTGTAAATCACATAACAAATCGTGGTGGAACGGAATGTACGAGAACTACATTGAAGCTTTGGTGTTTTGTTGGAAGTGTGATTCTACCAAAAGTTGTTCTGTTTTAAGAAAGTTATGTAACAGTCCTTTTCGATACAAAATATTCATACTTTTAGATCATAAAATGTGTTCAGTTGAGAAATATAAAATATCCAAGACGGGAATATACCTTGTACTTAATGGAATCGGAAAACAAAGGAATATGGATCAATTTGAGGTACCAAGACCATCTAGAGAGAGACCTGCAACAAGTTGTACCATAGTCATGGCAAGCACACTGCAACATTTTCTAACGAACGCAAAGATCAGTGGCAAAAGCCTTCCACGTGCCCCAAGCAACATTACTCAACGTGATCAAAAAGTATTTCTATCTGAAAATGAAGCCAACAGGATATGAGTTCACCAAGGTAAAGCTTCCAGTCATCTTTCCCGTTCAACAGTTGCATACCTCAAGCAGCTGGAGAGTGAAACGGGTAATTATACCATTCCATATGAAGACATACTAGTCAAGGCGCTAGATGTAGTGCGCTTAGATTTCTGTGCGATCATATTGTTAAAACTGGCACTAGGATACCATACACTATAAGGAATATGTAAAGCACGCGGGGAGGAGAGATGTGCATTGCACATAACAACTTTATGATGAAGACTTTGCTATGGAAGCTACGCTGCAGAGCTATTGTCGAGAAACAAGTTTGTCAGATAGAGTATGACCAGACGTAGATACATGAACTGTAACGACGTGATAAGGCTCCAAAAGTGTTATAATATAATATATTGAACCCTCTGAAAACAATGCGTCTCTCCAAGTGTTTTATTGTCATCTTCTGAAAAGTATGTAACTTGACAGATATATTTCTTTGTCATCTTTTGTTTTACGTATCTATTTGCACAAATGTTTTCAAAATAGTGACAGTTTAATCGTATGTTTATATCATTGTCTGGTATTAATTGCCAAATATACCAAATATCACTTTCACTCTCCTGTACAGACAAAATAAGTCCTCAAATAAACTGCGTAAAAATGTTTTTGAGTTTGTTTGGTTTTTATTTAAGTTATATTATACACTTCGTTCTTTGAGTAAAAAAAAATATTAATGCTTTTTTGTTTTTTAAACCTGTAAGTGTTAGCAAAATGGGCTTAAAACTAAAATATCCGTTCATTTTGTACAAGATTGATTTGGCTAATATATTAGGTCGTCAAGAAATTAAGGTCGCGTTTTGGAACACTTTAATT